GCATTTTTTGGTGATTCTAATACCAAAAAATTATAAAAGATACAAGATTTTTTTTTTGGTGTTTTAACGCCACTTTTAAGCACCGCTTTTGGGCTATTTCGTGGCGGCCAGTTTTTATTGGTGGAAGAAGTGAGAGTGCCCGGAGAAAACCACCGACCTTCGATAGGAAAATTGACAATCCTAGTCAGATACAAAAGATACAAGAGGGAGCTTTGAAATTTATACATGAAGGTGAGAAGAGCTTATAAATATGATAAGCTAATTGAAAATTCTAAATTACCGTCTCTAAAATGAAGAGGGATGAGATTTTTAGCTATTGGAGTATTTAAGAATAACAATAAGGTCTTAGATCTACACCTGATTATCTAAATGATTCAATTGTTATAAAACAAAATTCATATTCTTTTAGATACAGTAATACTGCTGATGTTTCTAGGGTGAATACAACTAGGTATGGCTTACATTCTGTGAGGTACGCTGCTTGTGGAGTGATCTACTAAATGATAAGGGGCGCTACTACTTTAATCCAGTTTAAGGGACTTATTGATCAGTGGGAAGGGGGCACAGGGATGTATTTGTTCTTTTTGTTCTTTTAGATCAATGCCCTCCAATGATTCTGGAGAGCCGTGCTTGACAAGTAAACATATTATTTTTTTCTAGTTGCTTACACTTGACTTGCAGACTAAATTTGTATTTATATTTATACTTACGGTGCCAAATCTGTTTAAATCTTAGATTTCCTTGTTTTGGGACCCCGAACAGGACTCTTACGCCTCATTGACAAATGGACTCCTGTTCGGATCCCTTAACAGAATAGTTGAAATAGTTGAATAATTTTATTATACTTTATGCAAATGTCTTATATTATCAATTAATTTCATTAGACACGCGGCATTTCTTAATTTTCACTTATCTTTCATAAGCCCGCCCACCCATAGCAACATGTGATAATATTAGCAACGGGTGTTATAATAATTATAATATAGCGAAATAAATTATGACCCTCAATTTTTTTGGGGGAAAATTGATAATTTCTTAAATCTGGACGAAAAAAAAAAATTGCCCTGCCCCCCAAATTTTTTTTTTACCCCTGCTCCCCTCCCCCCTCCAAAAATAATATTTGAAGAAATTTTCTTTTTGTAAAATGTGGTACAATTTAAGAGACATCCATACACTTAAACACAAGTTATTGTCTGAAAACTAGAAAATTGCTTGTTTTGGCCCTTTTTTGGCCCCTAATCCCTGAACGGTTTGGGCAATTACCCTCAAAATGAATCCCAACCTTCTACTTGTGATATTGAACCTTGTGGTACAATTTCAGAGCAATCAAAATACTTATACACAAGTAATTGTCCTGAAACTATAAAAATGCTTGTTCTTAAACGGTTGGGACCATCACCCCCCAAAACAATCCTAACCTTCCTCTTATGGTTATGAACCTTTTGGTCAAATTTCATAGAGATCCATACACTTAAACTAAAGTTATTGTCCGGAAACCAAATGTCTTCGGATGACGACGACGACGACGACGTGATAGCATTATACGAACGCAATTTTGTTTTGCGATTGTATAAAAACGACAACCACTCAATAACACTCAATGCTCAATAATTAACATATGACTTTGGACCGAGATTTGGACAGGCACATATAGGATCATATAGAATGTGGCATGGGTTAAACATGTTTGTAGGCACCAACCCTCCCCTAACCTGGGACAGTGGTGTAACAGTACAACATAAGAACAAAGAATAAAAACAAGTATTGAATTTAAGTATGTTTTTCGACCGTTCTATTAAACGCACAGATGACTTTTACTATCGATTTTTAAGATAGGTATCATGATACTTGCCCCAGGTAAATAACCACATGTTACGTAGAGTGAACAGCCGGCATCAGTTGGGCTATGTAACCTACTGGCAACATCCTCTATCACCCTTCACAAACAAGGTCTAGGGCATCAGTGGTACGGCGAATAGGAGCGGCAATGCCAACCTCTACCTCTAGTACTATTGCTTAGGAAAATCTCTTGGTACTATGCCAGTCGACTATATTTGAGGAGGCTACAAACCGGTACCCTCGTGTCATGTTAGATAAATTACCCGTCCTTTGCATCTATACTCCGGTATTATATCCAAGGTTCAGAACCTCGTAATATGACCAGCCGGCAATAATTAAGTTGGACTATGGGACATACAGGGTCAACATGACTCTTCAAGTCTTTGGTATCTGTGGTACGGTGCATTGTAAGGCAATTTCTACCTCTTTCTTTGGTTCAGGATGAAGATATTAAAGTATAGCCAGCATGAAATAGTAAACTTGGACTAAGTGACACACTGGGCACAGTCTCAAACCCTACCCTATCCTTTTAGACTCTAGAGGTCTGGGGTATCCGTGGCTCGTGCCTAGTAGAAGCATTGTATACCGCTGCCTTTATTACTATGGCCCATGTTGAAAATCGGTTAGTATGGTTAGGCGGGTATGGTTGAGTTGGACAATATGACTACCCGGGAATCCTCTACCAATGTTCTTCTGTCACAATCGTGAAGATCTATAAGATATCTTAGTTCGTTGCATAGTAAATGCAATATCAACCTCTACCTCTGGTACTATGACCCAAGAGATAATCATTTAATATAACACCACTACACTACTCCAATCTTTTCATATGATGTCAGACTCGTGATAGCCTAGGATATCTGTGGTACGGTGCATATGCCTACCTCTATCCCGACTCCTGGAGCTCTTGCTTGCTTGCTGTATGATGATCATTAGAGACAGTGCCTATCTCTATGCTCGTACTATGGTCCTAGTAAATAATCTCTTAGTATTGCGACAGTTGAGTTAGTGAAATAGTCTGTACCCGCCTCCCCTTTTTCCAAGAAAACAAAACACATCCAATGCTGCCAGAATCGAGAAGTTCTATACAGCTTGGATTTATGGTGCATGGTGCATAGTATATGATAATACAATAGACATATTCACAATTGGTTTTTCTTTTGTCGATAATAGCATAATACTTTTACCGGCATTTATATATAAGCGCAATTCAGACATACCAGATACATGTACATCTCCTCTGCTATCTCGGAATTCCTGACGAAGGTAAATCCAGAAAAAGCGCTTCGGATTCACGAAATTTACAAGGTGTTGATTTCATAATATTGAATTTTATCAAACATGTTTTCTCGGTAAATTTCAAAAAAACAATGTATGTACTGTTTAATTCTTTGAAATGCAAAATAACTACGTGTACATAATTTGAGATATTTTAAATAATTTGCCAACATACTTACATATTTAAAAAAAAATATCCAAAAGATTTCATTCTTTATTTTGTCATACACATGTTGAATATATAATTATATGACTTGGCCGACCATTTTTTACTTTAAAAGTATAGTATTTTATCCTCCTGCATAACGCATCCTCTTATTATTGTTATCTGGTAATGAGAACTGGAAGATTTTAGAGAAATATGTCAATGATTATATTAAGATACAAACAAATAACGATGAACTTACAATAATAATATGAGTGTCTAATCCAGGATTTTAGAAATGTGGTGGTTGTACAGTGTATACAAGTAGATTATGTAGATATATTGGGCGAAATCTTTTTGCGCCAAAAATGAACTCATTTGCGCCACAACTTATTTGCGCCAATGCTACTTCTGCGCCACTTCATTTTAATTAAAAACTATAGGTATCATTTGCGCCAATTTTATGATGTTTTATTATATATATCAACTAAATGATTGACTTCCCTCCTCCTTTATCCGGGCTTGGGACCAGCAGATTACCGAATGGCGGATTAAAGCTAGTCATTTAAATATATAAAAAAAATATGCTGAATTAAAACGTGCACTCGTATATCTACAGTTAAAACTATAATATATCTCTGTTCAACATTAAACCAAAGGCTGGTATCTGTAGCTGAAAACAGTATAAATGTATTAGACATCTTTCCATGTGAAAACCTATTCTATTGCTGAACAATTTATTTATTGGTGAGTTTTCTTAATTTTGATGAGTGTTTAGTTTAATCTAAAGTGGAAAGGTTAATTATAGTAGAGGTCGGTCATTTAAAAACGTATCAACCGTATCATATACTTTGACGTATACGCATCTGCAGATATACCAAAAAAATAGTATGTGCTCCCGCAACGACTTCTGTATGCTCTTGAAAAGGAGCGAATGTGGGGCAGTGACACGAATATCGTACAATAAAATTAAAGCTGTGGATCACATACTGTATATGATACGGTTGATACGTCTTTAAATGACCGACCTCTACTACAGGTAAATGTGGCGCAATTTGATTCCATTTATTGGCGCAATGAATACCATCAGGAAAATAGAGAGTGGCGCAATTGATACCTTTTCAAACTGTAATTGGCGCAAATTGATTCTGCCCGATATATTATAACCCCACCCCCTGTTCGTCTCGGGTTTAATTGTATTATTTATAGACAGCAGGTGCAGAAATCACTGACTTGAGTTGTACAAACATAAAAATAATACTATTAATTAAGATAAATTGTATGCATCAAACCAAGCCTTGGCTAGTAATTGTTGCATATCACTGAATATTTTGGCGCTTTAAGTGGGTCTCATTGGGGTCTAAGCGTGACCCGGGATTGCCGATTTTTTGTAAGCGTGACACGTGAAAGTCAAATTATTGTGCCGTGAAAACGGGAAATGAGGTCTAGCGGGACACGGGAAATTACAAAAAAAAATGAAAATTGCTTACGTACATAGTGTAAACAGTAAGCGGGATCCGGGATCAGAACCCCCAATGAGACCCCCTTTAACTGATTGTAAGAAATCCATGAATTAATATGTCTGTTTTAACAATTATTAATTTTACGCTATCAACGTGAAAACATTTAAACACACAATTTTTTTTTTAAATAAAATCAAGGGCGACCTGGTCGATCATGTTTAATACAGGAAATGACTCATGATTTATTGTTCTCACTTCTTTCAAAGAAAAAATGATTGCTGAAAAAGAATACAGCACAACCATGTGTATACATTGATTTTCGGAAAGTCGATGAATATAGTTATTTATAAATGACATAAATGGATTCACCACAGTTTGAAATATACTTTCGGTTTCAGTTTTAAATCAAAGTAAAGATAAGGCAGGATGCCTTACATACCGCTCTCCATGTCGGCAAGTAAATCAGAAAATTGTTTCAATGTGAATCCGTCATATACAAAAACTACAGAGAAAAACAGTGAAAACAACAGCGTGTTGTGTAATAGCGATCAATGTAAAAACATCGAGCCTAAAAGGAAAATCTCAAAATGTTGTTTATATATTAACACACTTTCGATTCTTTCGAACATAGTATTATTGATAATCGTTTCTACAACCGGGGTAGTTTTGTTTCATTTCAAATCAGGCGTTGATCGTCAGAATATAAAAAAGCCATCGGGAGATTTTATACTTCTTCCGTGTGAACGAAATTATACAAATCGACCAAGCTCTAAGGATATTTCATACTGTCAGAAGGCGTCGGATCAAGCAGTATTTAACTTACTAACACTTGTACGTATAACTTTATATGCAGTCTTAACTTCAGTTTTCATTAAGTCAAATCAAGCATTTAATTAACGTGGATAAGTTTAGGAATCTTCACATGCAAATGTTTGTGATATTTTGACTTAGGACTTTACTCTGTCAAACTATTCAAAAGTTTTGTATTTTTGTAGTGAGTTTAGCGAATCCTTCATAATTAAAATTGTTGAAATATTTTCAATATGAGATCCAACATAATTAAGAAAATCGACCGCATAGTGTTGCCCCTGCTTACCTTTCGACTTCTGTTTTATGTTTACCTAGGTCTGTTTTATATTTTCGTGGGCCATTACGATAGTTAATTGGATGGCGTCCAGTCAGGAATACACACGAAATGATGATACTTTATAACGATTCCAGTATAGGAATACACACGCAATGATGATACTTTAAAACGATTCCAGTCAGAAATACACACGAAATGATGATACTTTATATCGATTCCAGTCAGGAATACACACGAAATGATGATACTTTATAACGATTCCAATCAGGAATACACACCGAATGATGATACTTTATAATGATTTCAGTCAGAAATACACACACGAAATGATGATACATTAAAGCGATTCCAGTCAGGAATACACACGAAATGATGATACTTTAGAACGATTCCAGTCAGGAATACACACAAAATGATGATATTTTAAAACGATTTCATACAACGGAACCTTTGTCGTTCTGAGTTACGTTTAAAGTATTATATATTGAATCAGATTTGATAGTTTCAATAAATTCGTTCTGCAGCTATTGTCTCTTTAACGGGAGGGGGGATTAAATAATTTGACTGCGATTCTATGACTTCTATACGCAAGTCACCTTCGGGGTAAGAGACAATATAAGCAACGCAACTATCATTACGAAGTTTTCTTTGTTTTCAGTTGACAACGGAATACATTGGAAGAAGAAATTTAAGCGAAGAGCAACTTTATAAAGATGGTAACCGCCCTGTTCTTCGACAAAGACTTGGTAAAATGTATTATTTGTCGAAGAAAAATGCATCAGGTAAATTGGTAAATATAAACATCGATGTTTAGTATCAGATAAAGAGACGACCATTAGATTTTTTAGGGATCTGGAGGAATTTTTTCGGACTGAAACTTCATTTTCACCTGTCGCTAGGCTGGCTTGTTTATTTCGAAAATTTATTTTCATTTTAGTCCACAATTAATTTGATGTTGTTTTACAATAGCTACTAGCAGATGACAGAGGCGTAAATCCCCCCCACCCCCTCACCGTTATGGAGCTACATATATGAGGATAAATGAATAGTATTTTTACAAATATTACGCAAAACGGTTGTGGCCCCTTCTTTTCAAAATCCTCCATCTCAACATATAGATGATCAGGTTTTACCACGGTAACTTCAAGCTTCCTGAAAGACACTGCCACATGGTTTATGCCGACCAAAGCCGTAACGAAAGTCATATTCGATGAGAGAAAAGTAGTGGCAACAAGAAAGACCTTATACTATTGTCAATTTGAATTATTGTCTCAATATTTATGCTACCCTACACACCTTTTAAACTGAACATCATCACACACACACACACACCAATCCAAACATCAAACAAACGTCTTTCAAAACATCATGTGTAATAAATAAAGTTGTTCAAATTATGATTTGAATATAATTTTATTTCAGAAGTAACACTGATGATGCCAAAACACACAGGAGTAGATAGCCTCTACATCAAAACATCACTGACAGTTCAGTCAGACGGAATATATATTATATATGTATCACTGCAGTATTGTTTCAGAATACGGAACCAAACATCTGATTATGGTACAGTGTCCATGCAGATAGTTCGACATGTAGAAAACAAACAACGTGACGATATATTATTTCACAATAATGTACATTATAGCAGTGGACCTCTTTCTTTTATTCCGGAAAATTGTTTACTTCCGGTGAATTTGACAAAAGGCGACAGACTATCCTTGCACGTCACAAATATACAAAATTTTTACGCGACGAGAATAAGCAACGTCTTTGGATTACAAGAAATCAGAAAATATTAATTCGACAGTACTTGTACTTAGTTGGACATAGAAGTTTCAGATTTGCAATGAACCATTCTATAGTGAACCTTCCTGCATCTGTGGAGAATGTTTGTAAAACAACGCTGACACTTTGTGTTTGTACTTTACTATTTATGCTTTAGTACATTATATTTGCTATCCTTATTAGTTTTAAACTTCGGTTGTAACTGTTTTATTGCGGGGGTTGTTGAACTGCATGCACAACGTTGTTTATATGATTAACATATCTAATGAGGCCATCAGATTGAAATTACAAAAAGTAATCTTCATCATATTTGTAAGCTCATATTTCCAGTTTTTTTTTTTTAGGTTAAACACATCTAATCTAATGTTAAACCCCTCTAATCTAATGTTAAACACATCATCTAATTTTAAACACATATAATCTATTGTTTTACATTTTGTCATGTTGAGGCCTTTTACAGCTGACTATATACGTAATAGGTTTAGCTCATCGTTGAAGGCCGTACGTCGACATAAAGTTACTTACATCTATGTTATTTGGCCTCTGGTGGATAGTTGTCTCAGTAGCAAGCATACCGCATGTTCTTATCTTTATATTAAATTACATGAGAAATTTGTTTTAAACGCATATTTTGTTTATTTAATCCTTTAAATTTGCAGATCGGTAACACTTTGATGTCATGTTCATCCATCCTCACTGCCTAAACCGTTACCACATGAATGAATCCCTCAGAATAAGTATAAGAATACTCAAATTGCATCTTGTTTTTTTTAATGGTATTGAAGTTGATTTTTTTGCAGGTATAATGAGTTTCATTCAGGACTTGTAAAATAAAATGATAATTGTGTTTGCATTTTACTCGTCATTTGATCCTCTATTAATCAGTTGTATCTTGGTCTGCTATATATGCACGAGTACCTACAATACTATTGTACTTTTGTTCTTTACTGTTTCAGCAAAATTAATAGTTCATACTTTTACGAAATGTAAACATAATGCACCTTGCTGTATTACTTATTATATATGATAAAATGTATTTTATGAACCACTGTATTTGTTATATTACTGAAGCTGAAAATAATACAATTTATGAACTGCCATTATGATTTTTATTATAAATTCCTTCACCGGATGCCCACATAAGTAACTCTGGGTCTCTTGACTCGAAATTGTATCTTGGTCTGCTATATATGCACGAGTATCTACAATATTATTGCACCTTTGTTTGTTACTCTTTCAGAAAAATCAATATTTCATACTTTTACGAAATGTGTACATAATTTGATTGTTTTATTTCAATAACATTAAAGGAATATATACCATCGACTTTATTTAAGAGGTGTCACCGTAAACGATGCGCACAATTACAATGGCAAATATTTCATGCTTATATATATATATATATATATATATGTAGTCAGGAAGAGGCAGATGATTTGCCTAAAACAGGTCAGCAAAGGGCCTCTAAGATAATTGTTGTAAGGGCAATTTAACGTACAGTTTATGAGCCGTGTTTCTTATTGATAAAGATTTGAACGAGCGATGACCTTTCTCCAGCTGTTTAAGATTTAAATGTGAAAAACGGTACAGACTAAATCTGTCATAGATACAGATTAAGAACGACTGATGAAGTATAACAAATTGACACCTAAGTGAAAGTAATCAAATCAATTAAGAATGACCTATATTTATTATATATAATAACACAGCCTTGTATTCAAGTTATAATATATATACAAAATAAATAAAAAGCATAATATAATAAAAAATATAAAAATATGAAATTGGAGTTACGGGCAACATGCTAGCAATTGATATGTATTTAAAAAATAAAAAATAAAATACATATCTCAATCAAATTCACATTATTCGAGCATCTATCGCGGCACTTGCACTTGACGACAGAGTGTAGATGTAGTACCGTGACATCAAATAACTTTGACCATATTATTTAAGGAGAAAGTCACGAGCCACTTTAGTATACACCAATTGAATGAAACCTTAAACAATGTGAACCTAATAGCAAAGCGAGCCTTTTAAAAGAGAGTATTTACAAGAGCTCGAAGCATAATTCAGAGAACTGTGTTACTTCAAAATACCTCTCTACGAGTGACATGTTGAGCGCTGGCCCATCCCATGTCAAACACAGGTAACTCAAGTAGACCCACTCTTTTAGTTTATTTCAGTTTAATTTTAATACCTGCATGTTGAGCGCTGGCCCAGCCCATGCTTAGAGGGTATGGGCTCACTTTGCAACCTGAAACGGATAACCTCGAGTGAAAAAAACCATTTGCACACTAAAACATGTATCCAAAAGAACTGTCAAATGGACAAACAAATGATTCGTTCACCCGGCGAGAGGGCTGCCTAGTTACCCGTTTTATTCAGGGCTGCCTGAGAACTCAGGTGATAATTTTGTGACAAGTAAAGAATGGATGAAATCCATTATTACATTGCCCAAACTAAATGCTACACATGTTGCCAAAGCACAAACCACAATCTCGGAGGTGTTAGGGTCAGATGGAGGGTTAATAAATACAAATAAAATTATTACATAAAATAAATATGTGTATCTAATCCATATAAAAAATATTGATTGACATGCCTTGTATCAAACAAGATAGACTATTAACAGTGCGGTAAGACAATTCCCAGACTTCCATAAATAAGTCAAGATGACTGGCGGAAGAAATCAATGACCATGTTTCCAGTCAACCTTCAGGTTGTTAAGACCTGGACATATTGAATAATTAATAAATACTTGAACAACAAGGAGCATGTGGTATGATTCTTAATGAGACTACTATTCGCAAAAAAATAAACTGAAGTACACAGATGTAAATAACTAACCGTCCTCCCAGGTAGCACAAAAACATTTTATTGATATTTTTAAAATATATTGCAAAATGTCACAAAAATATCATTCAGAAATATTGTTTTGAAGTGAAATGTATGGCTGTACTAATGTGAATAGCATATTTTCAGCTGATATTTGTTCTGAATGTTTAAAGAACATTTTTTTTTAAATATTTTGATTTTATATTTAAATAACATAACTTTGATATCATTCAGTGTCAATTGAAAATATCCAGACAAGATATATATCAAACGTTATCCAAAAATATCCTTTTCATGTCTAAAATATGTTTTATGGATGTCTACCAAATGTTTTTAAAATATCAGAGGCAAGTTTAGGTAGAAATATCTCTTGAAAATGTAAATTAAATATTTCAACGATGTTTTATGGATGTCTTCCCAATATTCTTAAAACATCTTGGTTAAATGTTTGTAAAAAACTTTATACCAATATTCAAAAAACGTTTTATGTTCAGGCCAACTCTCAGCTTGCAAATATATCATGCATATTTAGACTAACATTTATCAGCTCTCCTCCAGGGCACCTGTTTCTTGTTCTATCATTATATGTAGTGTAATGCAGACTGTTTATTTTTTTTATTTTGTTTTGCAATGCGATTGTTTTTCTCCGACTTGTGGACATTTGAATTTTTGTTTGATATTTTTTCAAACTCTTTCAAACAATTAAGAGCAGTCAAAGCATGACATTGTATACTGCCAACACAAAAGCATTGATAGAATAGCTTATTCATATGACAGGACGACTGTCAATGAATATTGAATTTTCCTGAATAGCATTTTAACATTTTATTAATTATTCAGAGTCTGCATCTTCTACTGCGAGCCTCCTCTTCTTGTTAGCCTTCTGAAGAAGAAATAATACATAAATGTTTAAACTCAATTGAGATTTAAGCTTTTAAGCCGATATCAAGTCAAACATTATGAAAAAAATTGTATTATGTTAATTAGATTACAGGTATGCCGTTATTTTGATTATGATATAGATTCAGGAAACAGAACTATGTCAAAAAACGTTCTAACTAAATAAAGAATACAAAGTCAAATCTAAATCAAAGTGACACTTAGCATTGACAGTAATATTAAACATTTTATACATATATATCTGCGAATTTCAAATCCGATGTAGCAGAAAGGATGGCTATTATGTTACTTACTTAAAGTAATTCATTCTGGGCTATCAAATGGTAGAATGCATTTTGTCCCATCTCCATTTCCATGCATTTTGAAGCCAGAATATTTTCAATGATTATTAAAATTCCTTTTGCACTCTGCTTTAATTTGTCTTCTGTAGTTCTCAAATACCAGATCTATAAATTTATATGAGAATGTAAAAATGTATATTAAAAAGAAACCCTACTTCAAGTAATTTATACACGAATCTGTCTGCAAATTTATATAGACTTTTTCCGTATGATATTTTTTCACATTTTACCCCCTTTTTTCACATATACATGCCATTTCATTTTGTTTAAAATATATCTTTTTCACTTTTCCATGATATCCTAATGTTTAATTATAACACTGCATACATATAATTTAAAGAAGTAGCGTCTTCAACATTTTGTGATATTTACTCCTACAAACTATTCAAATACAGATTTTGTTTTGCCAAAGTTTTGCCGAGGACAAAAAAACAAGATTCAGTCGAGTCCGTATATCAATTACGATTTTTTAAAATTACAACTTACGTGTTTCTTTCTCTTTGAACTGTGATTTTCTCTTTTAGTTTTCTTTGTTTTCACTGCTTTCGGAAGTTACAAATAGACGACAGGAAATAACCTCAAAAATGACCATCCCATTACATTTAGATTTTCTATAATCTTAATTACCATAGCAACTATCTTTGAAATGTGTCCAACATCTGGTTAACCTTATCAGAATGTGTTTGATGAACAGAATGGTTGTATCAAATATCACTCTGTATATATTTGTTTATTATGTTTCATCAATTAAAGTTGAACGAAAAAAGTTATAATAATACACGATTGAAATGTTCCTCAAAGGTTAAAATTATCAAGGAGATTATCTCATATAACCTCTTTGGAATTATTAAAGCTCTTCTATAAAAATGAGGAGTCATTCATGTTAATGTGATATCTAAAAAATATTTAACACTTGCTTCACTCAAATATTACTAACAAACATTTGACAAACATTTCTGTCATACATCTTACAAATATCTAGAAGACATATAATGTTAAAATGTTTATAAAAGGGTCTTCAACTAATATTTTCTAAATAAAATCGAAAAAATATTTTGTTAAGACGTTATTTAAATATTCATTAGATATTACCAGCTTATATTTTTAATTAGGACAAGAAAATTATTTAGATGTTACATCAAAAAGATATTTTATTATACATCAAACCTATGCTTAACGCAGATATTAATCAAAAATGTTTTATAAACATTTCTTTTACACATCTTACAAATATATATTATAATTATAATATAAAAATGTCCATCAGATATTGTTTTAATATTGTAAAGAAATATTTCTTCGACATAAAACTGTTCTCATTTATAAAACTGTCTTTTAAACGTTTAAAAAACATCAGCAAAAAATATTTATTTATTTATTATAAAAAAATATTTACAAAAAATGTTTTTATATTTGCAATCAAACATTGGGATGAAATGTTATTAGTAAAATATCATTCACACCTAATTTCTGATGTAAACAAAATGTCTTTAAAATATTTTTGTGAAAATATTTCTGATAAACATATATACAACCAGTCAATAATATCATGAAAATATTTTGTGTTAGCTGGGCTTCAAATCGATCCCTTATAGTTAGCAATACAAAACATATTTAAGCCAGTAAAATAAAACTAAAAACATATAGGTAAACTGTTACCAACGGAAACCAGTGGACTACAGGCTCCTGGCTTGAGACAGGCAGGTTTACAAATATGGCGCTTAATTCTCGCTGAATTGACCTGGAACAGTTGTGTAATATAGTACCAGATTACAACAACTGGCAAAAATCCAGTGTTTTATATTAATTTGTGTCATTGGGTTGTCACATTTATATTTATTTGTGTCATTGGGTTGTCACATTTATATTTATTTGTGTCATTAGATTGTCACATTTATATTTATTTGTGTCATTGGATTGTCACATTTATATTTATTTTTGTCATTGGAATGTCACATTTATATTAATTTGTGTCTTTGGGTTGTCACATTTATATTTATTTGTGTCATTTGGTTGTCACATTATTATTTATTTTTGTCATTGGGTTGTCAAATTTATATTTATTTGTGTCATTGGATTGTATCATTTATATTTATTTTTGTCATTGGAATGTCACATTTATATTGATTTGTGTCATTGGGTTGTTACATTTATATTTATTTTTGTCATTGGGTTGTCACATTTACGCTTACCTACCTCTCTTTTTATTCATACATGTTTTGTTTAATATTGCAACTTGGCGGAATTCGAAAAAGTAGAGAAAAATAAAGACAGTTCTACACTAAACAACAATGAATTAACACGTTTCACTAGCAATTATTCTAAATTTACTGAATTTTAGTATGTTATGGTGAAATGATCCTTCAAATTTGACAAAAAAGATGAATATGTTTTATATTACTGAAAAGCTTTTTATGTTTTCATTACAACACGTATACATATGCTTTTCAAAAAATTCGTTATGTTATCCAAATCTACAGGATTTTCCTGCTATTGAATCGTTGTTCTCAAAGTCATCCAAAGCTTTACGTATGCAGTTACCTTAACACGACACCCGACCCCTCTCATTCCGCTCCATCATCGAACTAGATCTGACTCATTGTTTACGTGCTTACCTTTCTGTGTTTATTATGCCCCCGCCTCGGCGGAGGGGACATTAATTGTTACCCTTGTCCGTCCGTGCCGTCTGTACGTCCAAAAATTGGTTTCCGTTTTTTAACTTTAGTTTGCCTCAACCAAAAGTTATGAAACTTATACACAATGCTTATTATTATAAAACACTGATCAAGTTCGAATCTGGTTGGCGTCACTTTTACAGGTCTCTAGTTATGTCCCTTTATAACGTAAAGTGCAAGCGGGGGCATCATCTGTGTCCCATTGATAAATTCTCCATTTATTCGTTTATCAGGGTCACGACTTTTATAGATATATTTCGGCTTCAAAACCTAAAAGTTAACCAGCAGTCATTGCTTTTGGGTGGGGAGGGGCATGTGTTTTTTTCTCGGGACAAGCATTTTTTTCTACCTTAATAAAAGACAAACTATTTATTTCAATAACATACAGAAACAAGTAATTCTGTATAAAGCAATGCTTAACCCCACACCCACACCCCACACATCACAATTTTCAATAGAAACAATCGTTTTTCGTTTCCGTTCTGAAACATTTTTTTTTCTCATGAAAAATTGAACTCAACAATTTACATTAAAAACATGTCCCCCAAAGATGAACTGTCGGTGTCTTATTTTCTGTTCCCACATCCTGTCGCTAATAATATGTTGGCATTGCACAAGGTCATACTTTTCTCCTAAGTCTTGATATATATAATCAATATATACGCTTGTCTATATAACTAAATATGTTGGAGGTGTGATGATTGACACTCAAATCTTGCAGAACAAAACATGGTCTATTTATTACTATTAGTTTAAATTATCCTTTGATATAAAAAAAAATTAAAAACAAAAAAGAAGATGTGGTATGATTGCCAATTAGACAATTGTCCACAAGAGACCAAATGACACAGAAATTAACAACTATAGGTCACCGTACGGCCTTCAAACAATTCAAACGAGAAAACTAACGGCCTGATTTATGTACAAAATAATGAACGAAAAACAAATATGATATACAGCAACAAACGACAACCACTGAACTACAGGCTCCTGACTTGGGACAGGCACATACAGAATGTGGCCTATTTAAACAAGTTTGAACTTGCTTTCAGTTTCTACGAATACTATCATCAATTTTTGTGACTTTTTGTTATTTGTTTTGTGCTTAAAACGGATGTGATGAGTCAAACCCTTTCGATCTGAATTTTACAGTTTGTTCTTATGGTGTATTGAGCTACCACTGTCCAACGTTAGGGGCGAGTTTAGCGCTCACAAACATGTTAAACCTCGCCACATGTTCCTATCACAAGCCATGAGCCTGTAATCCAGCGGTTTTTGGTTGATTGCTGTCTGTAATATTTATTTTTCGTTTATTGTTGTAGTTTAAATAAAGTCTACATGATTTTTTCTCGTTTGACTTACAAAAAAATGTATTACACTTTTTGTCATAACGAGGCCTTCGTACAGTGATTTGCAGTTGTTCAAAGCTTTGTCCATTTTTTTATGGAAGTGTCCTACCACATCTCCTTACTTTCATGTAGCTAATTTAAAAGTCTAGTCCGATTTCGATCATGTTGATCACTATCATGATCAGTTATTAATTTTACTTATTCTTTATATTCCTTTTATTCTCTGTTTTTTTTTTTTTTTTTTTGCCCATTCTTTTCTATTCTTAATTTTTGCCCATTGTTGTGACAATCGTAGTAGACCCGGGCCTTTCGAACGAAATGCACTACATGACAATTATTGTGCAACCATTTATATACATTCAATGAATAGTTCAATCAAATCAGTTTGATTATTGACAGTCAATATAAAAATAAGAAGATGAGGTATGATTGCATCTTTCCGCTAGAGACCAGAAGTTAACAACTATAGGTCACCGTCTTTAACAATAAGCAAAACCCATATCGCTATAAAGGCCTCGAATTTCCGAAAATAAATCATAAGCACAGTAAATAACCAGTTATGAAAAGTCGATTTCATTTGTTAAAAATCGGGGTTTTCTGCAGCAGAGAAGTCATATATATGTACTACTGTATTCTATATAAATAACGAAAAAAGCACTGTACCTTGGTTTCAAATGTAGAAAAAAACAGTTCGTCGCAAAAAAATATGAACTGTTTTTTTCTACATTTGAAACCAAGGTACAGTCCCTCGGTTTCTAATGTAGAAAATCCATTTTCACGTACTACCCATAGCTAGTCCGGCTTGTTTTTTTTATTTTCTCCTTTGAACACAATTATTTCCTACAATATGTTGATCAGAATATCCATTTCCATCGTATCTTGGTCAAAGGGTATTTATTTTAGTTCTTACAGAGTCAGAATATTCATTCATTTTCAAAATCATCCCTTTCCAATAATATCGAATGGACGTCTGCGTACTAAATATTGTAATTGTTTCCTTTCGGAGCCAGACCCAGAGAGAATAAAATCAGGAAGCTTAGTCCCATGGAGTATCTAGCATTATTTGCAATCATTAAGCGGAGTCACTACAATTAGACCAGCTCTAACCAATAACAAAGTCTACATACACCCTTAGCTAAATTGGCAGAGTCACTACTGTTAGCCTAGCTCTTAACAATGACAAAGTCTACAAACACCCTAAGCTGAATTGGCAGAGACACTACTGTTAGACCATCTCTCACCAAAGACAGTGTCTACATACACCCTAAGCTAAATTGGCAGAGTCATTACTGTTGGACCATCTCTCACCAAAGACAATGTCTACATACACTCTAAGCTGAATTGGCAGAGTCACTACTGTTAGCTCAGCTCTCACCAATGACAAAGTCTACATACACCCTAAGCTAAATTGGCAGAGTCACTACAATTGGCCTAGCTCTCACCAATGACAATGTCTACATTCACCCTAAGCTAAATTGGCAGAGTCACTACTGTTAGCTCAGCTCTCACCAATGACAAAGTCTACATAAACCCATCGCTGAATTGGCAGTCACTACTGTTAACCCATCTCTCACCAATGACAAAGTCTACATACACTCTAAGATAAATTGGCAGAATCACAACTGTTAGCCCAGCTCTTACCAATGACAAAGTCTTCATCCACCTTGTTCTAAATTGGCGACACTGTTTATTGTATTTGTACATTTTGCACTGTATCGGATTGTATATATATCTAAAATTATGTCTGAAATATTTGATATTTCCCCCTGTGGGCTAACGACTGGTATAATAAATATATTTGAATTCTAATTTTAATTGTTACAGATTACGTAAGAACAATTTTTATACCATGTTATCGCCATGGCAGTCAGCAGGGTTTAAGAACATCCGTTGTTCGACCTGCTAATCAAATGCGTTTTGTTAAAATATACTTTTCGCTTTTTTTTTGGTCTTTTGGGAAATGTTTTTTGTGCTGTATTTAGACCCTTCTACCAAGAAATTTGTTTTGCATGCACAACGCAATCATAGGTTTGAACGTTGTTTTTAATTTAGACTTGTTTATATTTTTTTCTTTTGGGCTTGTATTATATTTGCCTTCGGGTTTATATAATTCTTTCATCCTTTTTCGACTCTTCAAAATTCAAGAGTCTATCCTAAATTGAGGTAAATTATATGGCCTTCCAAATATCGTTTCGATTCCTAACATCACTGAAGAGACATTTATTGTCGAAATCCGGAAATATATAAAGTTTCTAATTGATTGTATAGTAAGAACTATAACACAATTTTCCATACGTTTCGGCCATTATGGCCATCTGCATTGGAACTAATTACAACATTGAAACAACAATTACATCGCTTGGATACATTACGTGATAATTACTACTATGACGTTCATGCCGCGTTTATTCTCTATAAATATTTTCACTATCGTTCATACATTGTGTTGAGTCCATCAGGCTCTGAAGTTTTTAATTTTTTATCCAAAAGGCTTCTTTAAGGTTGCACTTTGTAAATACAGCTGTTTCTCAAACCACGCCTCTTTTGGGGAGATATAGAATATTCATAGATAATTAATTTTGTTTACAAACTGGATCCCAGTTATGATCTCTATGTTTCATCTCATAGAGACATAACTTGGGAATGTTACCAGTAAATATACATATGCATATTGTTTATATTGAAATCTGTGGTAATCCTACTGTTAAGGTAGGAGTAGTTAAGAACTTTAGTGTTAGTTTAAACTCTTAGAAGTTCGGGGCATATAAACGTTGAAAATATGCCGCACAGCCCTATATTAAGACCTTTGAAAAAATTAGTAGTGCATATGAACTTTCCCTTCTAGGATGTGATTTTTTTCAAAATTTCATAGTAAAAGTGGTACAGTTTTAGATGTAAAAGGAGTTTCTATGGGAAATTGCAATGTCAATATTTACAGAAATGCAACCAATATTGTGTGAAGAAAGAGAACATACAGAGTTTATCCAAATTTGGTTTATCTCACAGATTTTAATGAAATTAGCTCAAATATGAAGTTTTATAAATATTTCATGAAGATTGAGAAAAACCTGGCCCTTAACTAATTTTAGCTTTAACGGAAATCACTTTCCACAAACCGAAGGAACAGCTATTGGTTTCCATCTAGGCATGAATTATGCTTGTACCTACCTCGGACAATGGGAAGAACATTTATTTCAAAACAGTAATTTACAGCCATATTCATATTGGAGATATGTTGATGACATATGGGGAATATGGGAACACGGTTTAGAAGAATTAAAATAATTTCACGAATTGTCCAATAGTATACAGCCGCGAATTCAAACAGAAATGCGTTACTCAACTGAAAAAATCGAATTTCTTGATGTATTTGTAAAACAGATCTTCATACAAAATCAACAGATAAACACCAGTACCTACATGTTTCCTCAAGCCATCCAAATTCTGTCAAAAATGCTATACCTTATGGACTCGGTATTCGTGTAAAAAGAATTTGTTCAACAGAAGAAAATTACCAAATAAGAAGAGAAGAAATAAAAACGCACCTGAAAAAACGGTGATATAACAATTCATCAACTGAAGATCAATTAAAAAAAGTCGATATTTTAAACCGAGACGATCTATTACAGTACAAACTAAAAAAAAACCAACAGAGTACCTTTGGTAATTACGTATTCCAAAGCGCTTCCAAATATACATTCAATTCTAAGAAAAAATTCTCCATCAATCTAACAGACTAAAGAAAATATTTCCCGATCCGCCTATCGTAGCGTTCAAACGCGACAACAACATAAAAGACATCTTAGTACACAAAAAGCACAACTATTATTTTATAAACAAACTAATGGCTGCGGATCATGCGGGAACACTTGTGCATTATGCTCACACATTAATGAGACCAAGGTATTTTGTGATAACACCGGAAAAGAATAAACCATTCAGGGACAAATAAACTGTAAAGCCGTGGGCGTAGTATATGCAATTAACTGTACAAAATGCGAAAAACTTATATATGTAGGACAAACAGATGATACACTATATCAACGGATGCTATTAAACTTTTCAAAATTAGAACACACAATTTCCATTCTCAATTTTACACAAAACAGACGATCCAGTAGCAAACCACTTCATTCAACATAATCATTCGATGAAAAATTTAAAAGTCACCGCAATAGAAAGAATATTTGGAACAGAAATTTACAGAAAAACTAAAGAAGCCTTTTGGATAAAATAATTAAAAACATTAGAGCCTGATGGACCCAACACAATGTATGAACGATAGTGAAAATATCTATAGAGAAAAAACGCGGCAAATGAACGTCATAGTAGTAATTATAACGTAATGTATCGAAGCGATGTAATTGTTGTTTTAATGTTGTAATTTATTCCAATGAAGAAGGCCATAATGGCCGAAACGTATTGAAAATTGTGTTATAGTTTTTATTATATATTTATTTTTATTATTTATATATCCATTTTGTTACATCTGGTGATCCGTTTATTTGGCAATCGCCAATGGCAGTCAGCAGGGATTAAGAACATCAGTTGTTCGACCTGCTAGTCAAATGCGTTTTGTTAAAATATACTTTTTTACTATTTTGGTTTTTTTGGAAAATGTTGTTTGCGCTGTATTTAGACCCCTCTACCAATTCGTTTGAAACAATAATTTTCATTGGACGTTGACAAATATTTTGAAGTACTACCAGTCCGTAAATAAGGAAAGCCATCCTTTTGAATTTCGAATCGTTTTGGTATGTGAAAAATGAAAGCAAAAATAAAAACAATGTATTTTTTTTCTGGATATTTGATTGATTCTTCATTTGTTCAAAAATGAGAAGAAATTCTGAGCGATTTCCGTCCGATGAAAAGTAGTAAAAATTGTATAAAATAGCAAACCAAATTTAACCTAACACCACTCAAATCGGGTTGACAAATGTTGCAGCTACTCTTGAGTTGTCATAAAACGGAATGATTATGGACAGTGGACCAATTTATATTTTTTTTTTAATTTAAGTTCAGTTCATAGTTGTCAATATTCTCACATAGATATTTTTTTAAACTTGATAAAAATAAAGGTAATAATATAAGTTAAAAATGATAATGCGATAATGATGATGTTAATGAGAATAATATTATTACCAATATTATTATTATTATTTTTAAAATTATTATTTTTAATATTATTGTTATTAATATTATTATTATTATTATTATTATTATTATTATTATTATTATTTTACCGATCACCTCTTTTTAAGAACACAGAAACAATTAAGTTATTACTTACATTGCGACAAATTAATATCACTGGATTCAGTATGCCAATATTCATTTACGAAAGCCAACCAATAAGATGTAACGCCAACTATCCCACTTACAAGCGTTAAGACTATTGATACTTCAATTTTCATATTTGCAAAACTACATGTATAGTGTAGTTGAAATGACAAAATGATTTGCCGGATTACGGTTTACGGTATAGGTAAATTTACACTTTCTTAAATACCAGAAGTTCAAACACTGTGAACTTTTCGAAGAACAACGATATGCAAATGGAAATACTGACCGAAACCAAATAAGGACATGAAATTGAGTGTCCAAAAAATAAATCAGACATATGCAAATGAAAATAAAAGATATAACCAAATACGGAAATCAACGCATATGGGGTGACTTTCCACATGGTGACGTTTGAAAAGAACTCACAATGTTAAATCTGAATATAATCTATCTGTTGAAGGAAATATTTTGTTATCATAATAAAATACAAATTAAGAAAAAATACTATAATAAAATAAAGTCTTATATATCATTATTACCATTTTTTTACAGGTGAAATACAGTTAAAAATGCGGAAAGTTGGTATCTATTTATTTCGGAAAAGTAATGCACGAAAATGCGGAAACGTGAAACTGGATTTTTACTAAAAATGCGGAAACGTAATACGCCCAGGTAAATACAGTTTTAATTGGTTATACTTCAATAATAGGTATTCAAAACAATTTTTTTAATAGCATGAACATAAGAAATTACTAATAGTGTTCACTAAAAGTTGTTTCAAGATATTAAAAAAACACATTTTAGGAAATTCCAATAGCGAAACAAATATTAAGCATCTATTTTGAATAAAAAAATCCTTTAAGGGAAAAATAATTTGATTGATAGCGTTGAAAAACTAAATAAAATTGTTCGTCGCGAGAATTTTTTTCTTCAACCCCACCCCCCACCCCCCCTTGAAGATAAAATGGTTGCTCCCTAAATACTCCTTTGCTTGAAGGTAAAATTTTTGATCCCAGTCATATGTCTCTTTTCTAAAGCATTGATCATTAAAAAAATCGGGGATTCTAACTCCCGGACCCCCCTCCCCCCCCTCCCGGATTGCCCCCAAAAAGGGAGTTCCTAAATATTCAATCTGTATTTTTTGTATGTTGAGCGTGACGGTCGTCGGGATCCTAATCCAGACACACCTATCCCTCATGAATGTCTGTTTATTCTCGAGAAGGAGGGGGGGGGGGGGGGGCTTTTTTTTTTTATAAAGCCGTAACATAAAAAAATCATTTATAATAACCTTCATTAAACTGATACAGGTAAGTACTTTGGGTTATAATATTGCCTTTATCTTTAGTCTCTTCTACCAAATCATACGCTTGACTCAAAATGTCGTCCGTCTTATACCCGTCCATATTGACAACTGCATACAAGGAGCATGATGTATTTTTTTTGTAATAAGAATGCACGAAACGGTCAACCTTGAACTGCTGATCCATATTAGCACCAGGATTTAACGGGAATATGCAAAACAGCAACTTTGACATTTGTAAAATCTACTCACTTGTCAAAGTTTGAACGAAAGTAAGGTTACTAGTGGGGTTTCATGTAAAAAAAAAATGTTTTTCTTATACATCATGGTTTGATTTTGTCAATATATATGCTATCCGTTCTTTTTCGTTTAAGGTAGCACAATACAAAGATTTTATACCTCCAACTCCCCAGTTTTAAAATGCTGTAACTTTCTTTATAATGCTTGAAAATTTATAAAAGTGGTATTTATGGATAGCTAACAGATTACTCTTTCAAATAAATGCAATGTTAGTATTATACAACAATTATGTAATTAATTATAATTTTAACTGTGTCTACAAAATTTTACAAGAAATTTCCACTTTCAATTGAAATTAGCTTCTTCATGGATACCCCGAGAGGGTTGATTTTATAATATGTTGTTCCTAGAGCCATTATCTACAAAAAGGTGTCTCAGATTTTGGATACAATGTATAGATAAAATTTTACACCTAATCAAATAATCTCTACTTTTATGTGGTAAGGATGTTTACACTAATTACAGATTTATGAGAGAATGGAATATGATAGCGATAATTTGAGACACTCTTTTGTAGCTCCTGCTGTGTTGATTAAGATAACGTTAAAATTTCTTGTGTAGTTATAGAGATGTCAGAGCTAAATTCATTTAAGTGAACTGACCAAGATTTTGCCATTAATTGCATAATAATTGATTACATAATGATTGCATAACAAAAATATTGCATTCATTTAAAAGATTAATCTTTTATCTATCTATATATACCTCTTTTATTAATTTGTATGCATAAGAAAGTAACATCATTTTAAAGGTTGGAGATTGGAAGTAAAAAAATCTTTGTATTGTGCTACCTTAATAATCAATGTTAACAAATATATGGTTTAGTATTGGGTGTAAGTTAGTTATACACCTCGGGATACGGCGTGTCTGGATAAGAAACCCCTCCGGCCTCCGGCCGTCGGGGTTTCTTATCCAGACACACCTATCCCTCGGTACTATATAACTATTACAGAATCTCTTGCAACACTATCCCAGTTTTGTGCTATTCGCGGAATTCACCCTGACAACCGATCAGACAATAGTTTTTTTATTAAGTTGACCAAATGCACAAAAGTGCATTAAATGACGCTCAAAAGAAAGTAGATACATTTGTCTTTTAAGATACAACTGGCATATATTTAAGGATCGTAATGATGCTATTTGGATACATTGATCGGTTTTCAAGAGCTTAATTAACAGCGCGTCATCACATACGATTTAAAAAATTGGGTGGCGTAATTGGGAGATAATTTTGACGACGTAGAATCCTGACTGTAAATTCGGAATTGTCTCCGAAAAATTATTATTATTACTATACTATGCATCGTACATTATCTGGGCCTTAGTACCAGAGGTAGAGGTAGGCTGGGTCTTTACTTTGCTTCTACAAAAGACTCATCAGTGACGATCGAATCAAAAAAGTTAAAAAGGCCAAATAAAGTACGAAGTTAAAAGAGCATTGAGGATCCAAAATTCCGAAAGATTTTGCAAAATACAGCTTAGATCATCTTTTCATGGTGTATAAAATCCTTAGTATTTCGAAAAATTCAAACATTTGTAAGCAGTTAATTTATAATCTTGACCATATCAATGATAATTCATGTCACCACAGAAGTGATGACTAATTGGCTGGATATACCCTCGGGGAGGAAACACCCACAAACAGTGGCATTGACCCGGTGTTTTTAAATAAACACATCATAGAAACCAGACTTAAGATACGACAGACGCTTGGGCCGTTAAACTAAGGATAGAGCGTAGGCATTGTTTTTACTATGTACTGTAACATAGATTTTCCAGACACTTAGGATTCTGGTGCCTATAGTTAGGAGTGTAGTATGTACCCTATAGGTCATATGGTCCAATTAAACTTTTGACGTCTGGCAATACAAAGAGATACATCACCTGGGTCATAGAAGAAGATGTAGATAGACATTGCCTCTACTTCATCCGTTCTACAAATACCATAGAATTTCACGCAGTTGGTTGGGTAGGGCTGTTAGGGTGTACACAGCATTCCAGATAGTTAATGAAAATAACACGTCACAAATTTCGTGGTCCGAAGCGTTTTCTAGATTTACCTTCATTATGAATGCTCAAACTCTAAATTGACTATTGCCGGCTTGACTTAGTACTAAGAGATATTCCATTATGGCCATGGTTCCAGCAGGAAATAGTTAAGTTTTACAATGTATCATTGTTCTAGATAACCCACGAACCATCTACCTCTTGTACTATGGTCCACTTGCAAAGCTAAGCGGATAATCTCTTAGCTTGACCAGCCACGAATAGTTTAACTATGAGACATACCGAGAACGCCCCTTAACACTCTATGAAGACATTCTCGTGAAGATCAAGAATACTTGAATTGCTGTGCATACTAGTAGTAAATGTCATGCAAACCGCTGCGTTTGGTTCCATGGTCAACGTGGTAAATCTCTAAGTATGCGGACCAACCGGCAATGGTCAAGTGGAACATTGTGACTAACTGGGAACACCACTGGGAACACCATCATTTCACTTAATACCGCGACAAGTGGAGATCAAATATATCTGTTGTATAATTCCTACCTCTTTCTCTGGTATTATGGCCCACTGTCGCAATATCTAAGGATACATGCAGCCTCTGTGGCCAGAATCCTGAAGGTCTAGTGTATTTTGCTACGGTGCAGGCAGAGACAATGCCTACATCTTACTCTACTACTATGACCCAGGTGGAGAATATCTTAGTATGGCGAGTCTACAACAGTCAAGTTGGACAATGTGACATTATGTGTACAACCAAGACCCACACTATGCAACCGATACTCTAAAAGGTCTATTATATCTGTGGTATGGTGCAAAGTAGGGCAATACCTACTAATACCTCTAGTACTTTTGACCATGTGGAGAATCTCTTAGTATGGTTAAACGACAATAGATGACTCGGGCTATGTGACATACCGGGTACCCCAAAACTATGAATGCCAGAATAATGAAGGTCTAGATATTTGTGGTAAGGTTCATAGAAGAATCAATGTCTATCTTTACTTCTGGTACTACGGCCTAGGAGAAGAATCTAAAAGAATTGCACAACGAACCACAACATACATAACCAGACTCGTGAAAGTGTAAGGTATCTGCTGCATGATGCATATCAAAGTTGATGTCGATCTCTAACTCTGATACCTGTTGGGGGATTTAAAAGTATGGTCAAACCATCTCTATCCTATACTGTCTGACTGGTCAAGATTTATGGTATGATAAAGCCCAGGCACAGAACCACATACTAGTATTATGTAGTGTGGACATCCGGCATTAATTGAGTTGGGCTATGTTACAAACTGGCAACATCCTCTATCACCCTTTACAACCAAGGTCTAGGGTTTAAGTGGTACAGTGCATAGGAGCAGCAATGCCAACCTCTACCTCTAGTACTGTATGGCCCAGGAAAATCTCTCGGCTATATTTGAAGTGGCATATACATATCGGCACCCTCGGGTCATATTGGATTAACTACCGGTCCTTTTCATTTAGACTCTGGTATTATAGCCTTGGTGCATAACCACGTAATGTGACCCGCCGGCAAAAAATTGATTTAAACTATGGGACAAACAGGATCAACAAGACTCTTCAAGGTCTTTGGTATCT